TTTTTAAATTCTGGCTAATGGTTTTTTAGAAGTTTCCTTTCCAACGATTTCGTTTTAAAAGTTACAAATTCAATTAAATATTTTAAATGAAATATACACTAAAAAACAAAGGTTGATATTGAATAAGAGAGAGTTGGGTTGTGCTTTAAAGAAAAATATTTTTTCATACCGTCAGCACCGTTTTTTAATTAGAAACGGAAATGCAGAAAATGAATATATATATTCTGTTTTTCACAAAATTAAAAAATTGTCAAAGATCAGTATAAAAAATGGGTACTACAGATAAGTTCTTTAAAAACAAAATTATAATAATTTATGTTTTTTAAAAATATTAAATATCTACGTATGATCAGAGAAGCTTCTCTCAAAAGGGAAGAAAGAAGTATGTTAAGAGAAAATACTTAACGCCACCCGAATTACAAACCCACCCAATAATACATTGTGAAATTTCTACACTTCCTAGTTGTACTAAAAAGAAGATAAATTTTTATATCTTACCTAATTTTTTTTAATAAATAAACTAACAAGGTATCATGGTAGATTTTTTAAAAAAAAAATTAAAACTTTTTTTTTCTTTTTTCATTTATTCCCCATAACTATATAAAATCCTAAACACATGATTGATATTAATACAGTTTTGAATGACCATTTCGAAATCTATATACTACATTCTCATATAGTCGAGATATAACTTGCTTCTGTTGAATATTTAAATTACCCCGCCCTTAAGAACTACATCATAGAAAAGACTAAAGAGATTCAAATATAACATAATCGAGTAAACAAAATTGAAAGGAAATAATAATTGGTGAGGAATGAAATATAGGGTGTTTGGGACATGGCCAATGGCAGTGGTGACAGCAAACAAGAAGAAGGTGATAATTGAAGGGCCTGTGTGTGATTCTTCTCAAGTAATTGGATGGCATTTGAAAAAAGTGGCAAACCAAACACAGCCAAAACCACACATCCATATCTCCAGTTTTGCCTTCAATAGTTCCATTCTTTGGGACCCTGAGAGATGGGGTCGCACTTCCTCTATCCAAGACACTTCTCAGGTATATTAAACCCTAGTTTGCTTCTTTTTTTTTCCTATTATAAAATTAAAATAAGTATATATTCAAATATACATAGAGGGATCGGAGAATCCAAAATCATTTAGAGAAGTGTTTGATTTACCACGTAATAAAGGAACAATATTTAACATGTTTATCTGTTGGCACTTATATTTATACTGACCACCCATAAAAATTCTAATAGTTTTTTTAATTTTTAGAAAATTCAAAAAAAAAAAAATTCTTCGTTTTTCTTTCCTATTTGTCAAAGTTTGAAGGTGATCAACAAAAGAAGGGTAGTGACTAATACACATTTAAGTTTTTTTTTTTTGTTGGTTGGAAAATTAGGATTTTCAATATTGAAAGTTTGAATGAGTTTCAAAAGCTTGAGCTTAAGTAACAAATGTTTGGCTTGGCTTGTAGGTGTGTGATTTGTTATGGTTATTTAGAAAGATAATTTTCGCAAAATATATGTTTGATTTCTCAATCCTAAACCATAGAAATCCAATTTATCTTGCTTTATGAAAACTAATGAGTATTTAACCTATTATTTGTTGAGGTAGAAGAAAACATTAATTATTATTTTTTAAAATTTAAAAGTATAAAATTAAAACTAGATGTTAGGTAGGATCCACTGCATCAACTCATAGATTGATTTGAAATGAAATCTATCTCAAAGATTAGTTGAAAAGTTTGCTCAACCCCCGATGTTTGATCAAATATATTCATCTAATCATTAGGTAAGATAATCATGAGGAATGTGAAAATTAAGCATTATATATTTTCTATATCGTTTCAATTTTTAATATAAAATGTTTACCATTCAATTTATTTATTTTCTATTTTATAGAACCAAAATAATTATTTTTAATAAATCAAATAAATTTTAATTTCAAGATTTTTCCTAATTTTCATTTAAAAAATAGAAATGAAAGGTTGTATTAAAACTCCCGATTCAAGTTGTCTGGAATTATTATATTTATTGTTTTTAGTAATTATTGCTAATTATTTTTATTAATTTTCATTAGAAGTCGGTCAATTTCGTGAAACAAGTGGTACTCGAAGATGAAGCTAAACTCACCGGCATTCCATCGGGAGATTGCTCAAAAATCATGTTGTGGAACCTCCGTTCCTCCAGAAAAACTCCCCCAACCAATCAGCAGTTGCCACCTGTACAGGAAGTCACCCAGACTCCGTCACAGCAAGGGACATGATAAACAAACCCAAAAGTAATCCGACGGCAGAAACTATATTTTTGGAAGGGTAGCATTGGCCCATCCAACGGTGCTAATTTTTCCGACATTTTCCATTTTTTATTCTTTTCTTTTTCTGAGAATTTTTAATAGGTTTGATACATAAATGCTTCTCATTTGTAACTGTTAATCTCTCTGTTTCTATCTACAAAGAGAACTTCCGGTATAGACCCGTTTCGAAACGGGGCAGGTGGGCCCATGTAGAGCACAAATATGCTGATCTGTTGTGGCCCAGTGGGCTGGTGGCTGACTCTATAACACTGGCCCATGGATTTAAGATGAAGTTTCCAATGTCTTTGAACTTGAGTTCTAAATTTTGAAGAAATATGATTTCGAATTTTGGAGGATACTTTGGAAAAAAGGGGCAGTTCGAGAAATGATTAAATAAGAATATTTTATACACAAAGCCATTTTTTAGCTACTAAAAAAAGGTTTTAGCTAGTGAACATATCTCAACGATAATTGACACATACTCCTTACTTTGAAGTCGAATGATCAAACTCTCATACCAACTAAGCGTAACTCAAATAGTTAAGATAGATGCCTTATTTTCCTCTTATTTGACTTTGACATTAATCTCCCACCGATCATTGCAATGTTAAGTTTGATCGAAAGTTGTTTGTCAACCTCTTTCATAAACAAGGAATTTGATCAAACTGAAAATTGACACCTCCAACTGTAAATTATGTTCAGGATGATGACAACAAAATTATTGTCTTAGTATTTACTTACCTATTGAGTGTGTGATCAAAATTTCATGTTAGCTAGATAAGAAAAGATCATGGATATATAACTAAGCGACAATATCTCCATTAGTACGAGACTTTGGATGAAAGCAAAGACAAAAGTCAAGAGTTTATGTCAAAAGTGAACAATTTTGTGAACAATTTTGTGAAATAAGGAGGGTCATTTGTCCCTAACATTACCAAAATCACAAGGGTTTATACCTAAAGTGAACAATATCATACTATTACGAAAATATAGAGGATCCGTTGTCCCTAACATTACTAAACTCATGAAGATTCATGCCTGAAGTAAACAATTTCATACTATTATAAAAATGCAGAGGGTCCGTTATCACCGAATATAACCTAAATTTAAATCAAGATTTTGAAGACCAGACAGGAACCGAAAGCATCTGATTCTGATTCTTACACGGGTCCAAACCCAGATACCATTTGGTTCATATTGCAGGATCTGATGCTTTCATTTGAAAGAAGGGAAAGAGTCAGAGTCAGCAAGAAGTGGAAGTGGAAAACGGGGCTAAACTACAAGCTCCAACATTACTGTTTGTTTCCCGGGAAAAATAAAAGCAAGAAAAGGGCCATTTGTGAGGCTAGAAGTTCTATGAGATTTCTAATCATAGATTAATATATATTTTTTTTAATGAGTTGCTTTTATCTTGACTAACTTGCAATTTTAACATTTGGGTGTTGTGATATTTTGACTGAAAACCTCTTATTGTTAACTATTTCGACTTAACTTTGCATATTTTCAAGGTAACTTTGCTGACAGCTTAAGGAAATGCCAAAAAGCTAAAAGGATATAAAACAGAAATCTAATCATCTTCCCCACCAAGCTCTATCACTCGGCTTTAGTTTAGAGGGATTTCATACACTTTTTTTAAGACTAAACTTCTGAATTGAAATATTTATATGATGGTGGAAGTGAAGTTCAATCTCTTCAATGCCATTGTAGGTACAAGTTTTGAAAATTGAATTTCTCTCTTCATATTGTCATTATTCCCAAAAGAAGAATAGTCCTAGAGAGATGGGAAGGAAAGGAAATTGGTTTAGAACTGTGAAGAAAGCTCTCGGTCTAAGCCCCATCTCCAAAAGGAAGAAAGAGCAGGTCTGTAACTTTCCAACTTTTTTTAATCTTCTTATGAATTTTCTAATATTGTTTCAAATTTCGATTTGGTTTTTGGTGGGCAGAAGAAAAAATTCTCCGAGAAACAAAAACACCCAAGTTCAGGTTCTACTCATTCAGTGTCTATTGCAAACCAGATAACTCAGCTAGAAAAAGTGAAACGAACCTGTGTGGAGAATGAAGAGCACTACCACGCTCATCCTTTTCCAATTTCAAATTCCCCAGCCATGGCTTCTACAACTGCTGCTCCGTTATTCCACCCCATTAATGTGACTCAATCCACTAGAAAATCCAAAGAGGAAATGGCAGCAATCAAGATTCAATCGGTTTTTCGTGGATATCTGGTGTGCATTCATTCAAATAATCTTATCTCATTAGTTTCCTTTCTAGTTATTTCATAAATTCACTTTTGAAGACTTCAATTGACAATCTTGGATAAATAAGGGGTAATGAATAATCAGTCCAATACAAGCTAGTTTTTCATTTACCACTTGTCACAGGCGAGATTGGAAATGCGAACCTTAAGAGGGCTATTGAGGTTGAAATCATTGGTGGAGAGTTCTGTTGCGGATCGTCAAGCCACAAACAGCGTCCGGTGTATGCAACTTTTTGTCCGTGTTCATTCCCAGATCCGATCAAGGAGGTTGAGGAAGCTGGAGGAAAATCAGGCCCTCCAGAAAAATCTCCTGCAACAACATGCAAATAAACTAGAGATTTTTCAGGTCTTCATTATCAGTTTTTCTTAACCATTTTATGTTGAGACGTATTTGAGATTGGTTTTTATCTAATCTTTCTCAACATTCTTCCTTAATACCAATGACAAATAACAAGCAGTTTCTCGTGCTTTAGCTACCATCCCAATTATCCTAATTATCTTCGTTCTTAAAGTGTGATATAAAAAGTGAAATTGAAACAGGTTGGAAAAGAGTGGAATGATAGCACACAATCAAAGGAAAAGGTAGAGGCTAAACTACTAAGCAAGCATGAAGCAGCTAGGAGAAGAGAGAGAGCATTGGCTTATGCCTTTTCTCAACAGGTGATTAATTTACTGTTTCTAATAGAATTTGTGCATTTGATTCACTAAGAACGAGACAGAACAGAAGTGATACAAAAAATCTGACGCAAGTTGTAGTAAGGAGTTCTGATGAGGTATAACATATCAAATGAATAAACATCTACCGGTTTCGGTTATCGTTTGGTCATCTTCCCATAGCGTTCTTTGTTTCTCTTACCAATTGCTAATTTGATTATAGTTTTGCTTTGAAAATCCTCTTGGGCAATTGTCTATTCTGCTTGGTCAATGAACATAGAAAAGATTACATAAACGTTAATGACAACTGATGCCTCCATTTAAAATTATGTATTAATAGATTGAAAAATAGTATTCGGACCTTAAATATGGAGAAATTGCTTCAACAGAGAATATGGAGAAATTCTTCAAGGTCAATAAATCCACTGTTCACAGATCCAAATAATCCCACCTGGGGCTGGAGCTGGATGGAGAGATGGATGGCAGCTCAACAATGGCGGGATGCAACCTGTGGCCTTGATTGTGGAGAAATCAACAAAGCTGACGCTCGATTCGAACTGAGCTCAGAGGCAAATTCGCCAACAGCAAGCCGATCCGAAAGCCATAGATATACCTTCCCCTCCCTCTCAACTCCTTCCAGAGCAAGGTCAGTCGCAGAGGCGAAGCAATTGAAATCATCAAACACAAGAAAGAGCTCGGTTCCAGATGATGAGTGCAGCAAAGCTGATGCTCGATTCGAACTGATCTCGGAGGCAAACTCGCCAACAGCAAGCCGATCCGAGAGCCACAGATATACCTTCGCGTCCCTCTCAACTCCTTCCACACGAAGGTCGATCGCAGGGGCGGCGAAATCAAAGCTATCAAGCACGAGAAAGTGCTCGGTTCCAGACGATGACTGCAAGAGCCAGGCGAGTGTTCGATCAAACAGATCGCTTAGGCATAGCAGTGGAGGACATGGACTATCCCTAAGGGACGACGAAAGCCAGACAAGTCAATCAACTCTTCCGAGTTACATGACGTTCACGGAATCGGCAAGAGCGAAATCCAGGTTCCCGAGTCCAGTTCAGACGGAGAAGAATGGAGTTCCAGAAATAACATCGTTTAGTTCTGCTAAGAAGCAGCTGTTGTATCCGCCATCTCCGGCCATGTCGAGGCGGCATTCGTTCCGCCTTATAGCGGCTTGAATGAAGAAAATAGCAGAAGTAATGGTGTCAGTCGTTTGAATTGTGAAGAAAAAAGTGGTACGTTAATGGCGGGAAGATTGCAGTAAAATCCGCCATTTTCTTCTTGCAGCCATATTTCGCCGTTGGTCAAATAAAGTGTTACTTTTCACTCTGGGTTTGGTGCGGTGCGGCTAATATTTTTTTTCTCCTCATATAAATAAATAAATGATCTTTGTTCTCACGAACTAATTAATTCTGATTCCTGCTCCCATTTTTGCATTTGGCATTCGAAATTCTTTTTAATTCTATTTCAGTAATTTTATTTTGTAAAGAGCACCCCATAACAATTTTTTGCTTTATTAAAAAAAATTTGTTAAAATACCTAATAAAATTAAAAAATATATGTGGAGAATTAAAATTTTAAAATATTAAGCATCTCAAAGGGTTTTTGGGCTTAACAGCCATTTTACCAATGCAATATTATTTTTTATCCACTTTTTTTCAAAATTTATGTTTTCTAATGAGAGAAGAAAAGAAAGTATGTAAAAAGAGGGGAGAGAACAAGAGAGAAATCTAAACATAAGTGAAGTGAAGGTATATGAAAGTAATTTGGTATCAAATATATATCATCAAATATTATAAAATATAGTTTTAAAAAAAGTGGGTAAACTTGGTAAAAAAAGCTATTCAGCCTAAAAACCCCATATGAAAAACCAAATAAAAGTTGGCCAAATTTTTTTTTCTAAAAGAAAACAAATGTTGTAGGCTGAATTAGATAAAGTAAAGTTTCGGAGTGTAATTTCATTTTAATCTCATGTTACATTTTGGACTGTAATTTCATTTTAATCTCATGTTACATTTTGGTCCTTTATTTTTTAACCGTCCATTTTAGTCCCAATACGATTAAACAATAATAATTTTAGTCTATTTAATTTCATTTTTATCACAATCTTAACACGACATTTAACTCATTAAATTCTTCAGACGTAATCAAGTAAATTAATATTTAATTTCAAATAGCAACCAAAATAGTCACTTTTTAAAAATACATGACAAATCGAACATTTTGAAGGTACAACGATTAAAATAAACCAAAGTTAAAAATATAGAAACAAAAATATACATTTTAAAAATATGGATCGAAATAACATTACAGAGATCTCTAGTCATTAAAAATAATAACAATACTAATAAAACAAGAGAGAACCTCATGAGCTTTAGTAACTAATGAAAATAAAAACCGAACCAGAAGCTTTAAACAAGTAAGCCAAGAAAGGGTAAAAGAACCAAAGAACTTGGCCCCAGTTGCAAATAGAAGTATAGTAATGGTGTAATAAAATTTCTAACTCTTGTCCAATGAGTGAAGGCAAGTGAGGCAGCGGGATATCAATATCAATATGGCATTTACATCAACATTTGGAACGTAAAATCAGTGTGCTATTATTGGCTCAGAAGAAGAGAAAGAAATGAGCCTACGGTATTATTCAAGACGGCGTATCATTCTACGATAGGATCGGTAGTAGTAGCTACATCTCTAGTATTTCCTTCAAAAGGAGAAGCCTCCATTCTTTCTCTCCTGTCAACTGGGCCCTTGGGGATTCCAAAAATGGTGGAAAATATCTGTCTATGACATTCATCGCAAAAATAGAGAAAGGAGAAGTGCCCTTCATTTGAGAGCTTATGCAATATGGCTGCTGGTAAAATGCGGCCTATATAATCAGTCATTGATGGTGGAACTACCTGATCGTCTATTCCCTGTTCAACATTAACCAAACTAAATATCAGAGAAAGAATCAGGAATGATTATGATTCTTTTTGTTTAACTACACTGCAAATTAATGTAACCGTATGCTGTACAAAAAGTCTGCTACAAGATGCAACACCTCATCCACCCATTCAGAAACATATGACGAATTCGTGCATATGCACATGTGCGTCTATGTATATGATAGGCCCCCGGTTGTAACTTGTATCGAAGGAAGAGAACGAGAGGGTATAAAGGGACGTGTGCATATGTATGCATGTGTCAGGGTGGGAACATTTGTTAGCAAGCTCGCAGTACGCTGGCCGTAGGGAGTAATGGGAGTATATGTTAGAGTGTAGCAAGGGGGAGAGCATCTTTTGGGTTGTATATGTGAATTTGGTTTGGAGGGGAGGGAGCTCTCGAACTCTCCATTGGCTGTAATCGTTAATAGACTGAGCTCAATCAATATATATGATAAGTGTGTAGGTGTGGATGTCCTAAGAAACAGGACACAGAGTTCCTAAGAAACAATGCTAACATATATGTTCATATGTTCTTCCAGTGGCAGTTATAACAAAAATGTCCACTTTAAGCAGTCAGCAAAACAGTCATCAAAAGATTCTATATAATGGTCATGTGAGCAAAAGGAGAAGTGGCCTCACCTGCCATATATGAATGGGACCAACAAATCCTGCCAGTTCACATTCTTCTTGGCTGTACAAAGATTTGAGCCAAGGAAGAATGCCTGCTCTTTGACACTTTCTTTGCACCCGAAGATCTGCCAAGCTAAATCCCCAATTTGACACCTGTAGCACGGTTTCTTCTATAAATGGTTTGACATTTTTCTGGCGGATTGATTCCTCCACGTTCCTGTACCAAAATTCCCTAAACTTTGGATCTTCAATCAAAACTTCATCCTGAACATGTGAAGATTGTGTTGTGTAAATATCAGGTGTGGCTTGAGGCTGACCATATAGTAGGTGCAGGAATGTAAATTATGTAACAAGTGACTAACTTTTCCATAGATGAAAGTTGAAGTAAGAACTATAAAATGGTTAAATTGGTGGTCACAAAATTTCTGGTCACCTAAAAAGAAAAATGATTTTCATTGGACTTATGGATGTATCTCCAATATTCCATGAACTTACCTTCTTTCCCAGTGATAAGGACAACTGCCTATCTATTTCTTCATGCTTTCCCGACAAAAAACTTCGCCGGTAGAAGTAGGATAGAAATCTAGGAAATCTACGAGCTAAGAAATATAGTAGTCTCTTTCGTGGACCCCAATTTTCCCAAGTTCTTCTCAACTCTTCCCTAGTCATGATTTTTTCGTATGGATTGATCATGGGAGCCACCATGATAGTACCTGCAAATTCAGAAAATATTTATTGAACTTCCAAAGCAAACGCACAGTTAGTTTATGTTTAGATAATAAGAGAATACAATTCATTGTAATAACCAGCGCATACAAGCAATTCAAACTTCCATGGAGTCAGCATTACTGAATTGAAAATTGGGATTCACCATTTAAACAAAACCAGAATGGATTTTCTCTGGGCCACGGGATAGCCTCCTGAGTTAAAATTATAGAACTTTCTAACTTGTTTCTGCACCCCCCGTAAAGTCATATGTTCTTATATTTCTCGTTCTTATCACTGGAGAAGATA